TTTATTTGCAAATTACAGCCACATGGGTCAAGCAGTATTTACACAACAGTCAGGAATTATAAGTATAAACATAAAAAAAATTAGTTGTTCGTTTTTCTACAAACTGACATAGACAGTTGTCCATATGCTGCAAGTTTCTGTTCTGAAAGGTAGTTCCATTACCAGGCAGCTGGTATCTCAAGTCTCTACCAAAAATGCGTGTTCTTTACGTATTCATTTTTCTGTCGCTGGGGGTCAGCTGCACGTGTAAAGCTCAGCTGGGTATCCGATGATGGTCCGAGGGCTTGTGTCAAATATAACCGGGTTAACCGGGTTAGATGGCGTTTCGACTATAATTTAGTAATCAAGAAAGAATATTTCGCTCCTTAAACTAATATTCAAGCAGTCCGACAATACAGAACAACAATCTCCAATCAAAATGCACTGTAACACAAAAACAATAACAACATTTAGTAGCACAAGCAATTAAAGGATTAATAAGATTAACAATAGATTAAAAGAATAACTTGGAGTGTCGACTGCAGGTTCTATGTTCAAACTAAAACTGAGGATAAGTAATTAAATAAATAGTTATTGAAATCTAGTCCTTTATCCAAGATTATAACAATTAATCCATGTAAAAACACGCAAAGTCCAGAACAATTAAATTTATATTAAATGAAATGTATGCAAATATAAAAATAGAGTAAAACAATTGAAATCATGAAATGTTGATAAAAAAAAATCTACATGATTTGATTAATGTTAAAAATAACAAATATTCGAATCATTCAGACATAGAAATACTTCTGAGCAGCATGTCTCTGCCTAGAGGTATTAAGAAAAAACAAGTTGTGACATCAATTCCGTATGCGGCATAGCTGCAAACTTTTGGAATTAACTACCCCAGAGATTTACAGAAGAAAATTTATGATAGTTTATGCCAGAGACATATGTGTATATATAGTGCTTTTAAAATAACGAGCACCTGTATAGGTTATGTCCCCTGTTACATCAAATTGGGAATACACAAATTCATCCGCACACAAATATGAATATTTGAAGCCACTGAGTTCATGCTGGAACGTGTTTTTTTAGTCAAGTTATTATGTTATGATTTATGAGTTACTTATTGTTAGTTTCGTTTATCATAACAGATGCAGTATACTATAATCTGACAATTTTTCGTAGATATAATTCTAATCGTATGCATTTCCGGTGTTGACGTTGGGGTGTTGTTAGACGCTGCTGGATAACTCGGACTAAAACAAAATCGGCCTATCACAAACTCGGACTATCACAAACTCGGACTATAACAAACTCGGCCTACCATTATTTATATGCGGAAATATATTGAACAAACTCGGACTACGATTAGTAGATTGTTTTGTGGTTTTTTTTTTCTCACTTTAATAAAAAACAAACTTTATATATAAGAATTATATACGAATTTTGAGATTATGATAAATATTTTTGAAAAAAAACATTGTATAGAAATGTATTAAAATAAAACTTAGCTCCATCATATTAAATATGTGTTATATGAGTTGAATTTGATATGTTTGAATGAGGATAATTAACTTCTTTTTGAAATATTATTGTGATTTTCTCGTTTATTATTTTTATTGACAAAAGATGTTTTAATGATTGACGTGTGTGCGTGTTTGTATTATGTTTAATCCTTGGTGTTCATAATTAGTATACAAACAAAGAGAAATTTGATTGACAATGAATGGCTTCTTAACAATTTCACTAATCTGTAATTCTTTATTAATGGATTCACCAATTGAAAAGTAATTATATTTAAATGGTCACATCAAACAGATACAATGTTTTTAGAAAAGCAAGCCGAGGCAAACATTTATTATACATATATCTAAAAATAGATGTGGAGTAAAATTGAAAAAACAACAGAGATTTCTTTGATCTTACCATATAGTTCTATAAAATAACATGGAAAAAAAATTCCCATATCATTCTCAACATGGGTACCGACCACTGCGTCGAGTGTTCCAGAAAAGTGACAACAAAGCAACATGCCTTACAGTGTGATTCGTGTAGTTTATGGCAACACAGAGTTTGTAATACTGGTAAGTGCTTCTATATATTGTTCTTGTTCATAATGATATTGATAAATATTTTACTTGCTATGGATAGAAAAGTATTGCTTCATTATTCATTTATTACCATTTGGAAAATAAAGTTGATTGCATGATTTTGCATACTTCTTCTTCTTTGTATAAGCTTCCTATAGACAGGCTTATAAGGGTTTAATTTATATATGGAGTGTTTGTTGTTTTTTTTTTCAAAGTATGTATGTTTTAAAAACATTAAAAAAGAAGCTTGGGCTGACATTATATATAATTTTGAATTGGTCTAAATGAATACTTAAAATCTAAAACATAGCTCTTTCAATATATAATGTTTAAGAATACGACTATATATAATTGTTATGATTGAAGTGAAAACAAAAAATACATAATTTGTATAAGTGACTTCTGGTATTAACATTATAAAGTATTTGTTTTTAAATAATGTTGTTACATCTTCAGGTATCACAATGAAGGAGTATCGTTCAATGATGCAAAGTGAAGAGACCGTTAATTTCATCTGTACCAAGTGCAATGATGTAGAAGAAGAAACAACCAGGTAGGCACTCGTCTAATTGTAATAGTGCGTTTATGTTGAAATTGTAAAGTTGATACATTTTATTTTTAAACAAACATAGCGTTTCATTAGTATATGTATATACAGAAATCTATAAACATGTGGTATGATTGCCAATGACCCCACATCCAACCAGAGTTGATACATTTTATTTGTTTCCAAACATAGCGTTTCATTAGTTAATGTATATATAGAAATCTAGAAACATGAAGATATGGTATGATTGCCAATGACCCCTCATCTAACCAGAGATCAATGATGCATATTTATATTTATAATTACTTTTTCTAGGTGCATGGAAAGCCATACGTAAGGAATTTTCTACTTCCACCATCAAAGGTTGTGCCTTTCATTTTGGCCAGGCAGTTTGGCGCAAGACGCAAGAGTTGGGCCTCAAGACCACATACACCAGCAGGGGTGCAGAGTACAGATACATCCGATCGCTGATGGCACTTCCCTTCTTACCAGCTGCAGACATCCAGCCGGCTTTCGAGAAGCTTTCACCAAGAGCTACATCTCCAGAGCTAAAGCAACTAGTAAGATACGTAGACAACACATGGCTCTGCAACACTGTTTGGCACCCACGCAACTGGAACATCTTTCAGACCAGCATCAGGACCAATAATGATGTTGAAGGTATGAATTTTTTATTATTTTATTTTATATAAGAATTTCATTTTCCTATCAAACTGGTGGCATTATTATATTGTAACGAAAAATTATTAAATTTATTTTAACTTAATTTCCATGTAATCACACGACGTTCCCATTGACATGGATTACTGCAATATAAATTATATAGATATACAAAGATGTGGTACGAGTGCCAATGAGACATCTCTCCATCCAAGTCACAATTTATAAAATAAACCATTATAGTTCAAGGTTATCTTTTGTTGTGGTGAGGCAAATAACTTTCTTTTTTCTTTTCATGTTTTTAATGAATGTATATGTATGTAAATACATCTTTTCTTATAATTTAATTCTATTTTAGGTTGGCACACAAGGATCAACTCCGACATCGGGAAAGCTAATGCCGCCTTCTACGTCTTGGTACCGGCGCTTCATCGGGAAGCCAAGCTTGTTGATCTAACTGTCCGATTGGTTTCTGAAGAACAGGTCATCAGGAACCAACGCATCCGCTACAAGGAGCTGGAAGGTCGTCTTCATCAGTTATGGGACCAGTACACAGAAAGTGACATAACAGCATCCCGTCTACTTCGCGATTGTGGCAACATCTACGGTCCGTCCAACGACTAGCTGTTAATTACTCCTGTCTGTGTTTATGCTTGTGCTTTAGCCTTGACAATATTCATTTTTGCATTTTGTCTCAGATATGACTCAGAATTCTGTATGTGCTATGTATGTTTTGAATGTGGTAGCTGTGGTTTAAATGTGCTATGTATGCTTTAAATGTGCTTTGACAATGATTATTTATATTTGCATTTTGTCTGTCTTGTAGATGATGACAAAATGCCTTTGAGTTTTAAAGGTGCTTTATGTGTTTTATATATGCTTCATATTATTCGTTTGTAATTAAATATTATTGAATGACGAAATCATTGTTATGTTTGTTGACATCTGCTGAAATAAAATTTGTAAACCTTATGTTTTCTTTATTATATAGTATTACATTGTACAGATAAATCACACTGAGATTCAACCAAACAAAGTATGATCAGAAACATACAATTCACTGCACTGTCTTATAATCACATAAAATTTGTAATCAAACAAAAAAAAAGGAACCTGAAAACATCAGTTATATACAAGCTGTTACTGCGAAAATACTGGATATTGGATATTTAGTTAATCACAATTTCATGTAATTACAGGTAGTTTTGTTCTCACTTGGGTGATTACATAGGTGTCAATAGTACACGTGTCAGTTGTTAGTTTAAATTATGGTGATTAAAAAGGTGTCAACAATACACGTGGCATGATGTCATATTTCCAGTTGAATCAATTAAGATATGCATATGATAAATTATTTTGAGATGGACATTATTACAAATTATAATACAGAAATACAAATCAGTGGTAGATTTTCATTATTAAATGAATGTATTCTTAATTTTCTTTTTATACATATCTTGTTAACGTCATTTATATTACTCGCTTCTAAAATGTTCAAAATAAATTACTTAATTAATTGTAAATCATTATTAATTTCAAATTAAGTATTGATAATTAATTTCAAATAAAAACAAAATAAAACATCATACTTATATTCTTCTAGTAGTCCGAGTTTGGTATAGTCCGAGTTTGTTATAGTCCGATTTTGGGAGGCCGATTATGTTATAGGCCGAGTTTGTTATAGTCCGATTTTGTTATAGGCCGAGATATCATGGATTCTTGTTAGACATTGTTAATCTACCTGTAAACATTTGGGGTCAATATAGGTAAATTTATTACTCGGTGGGTGTATATAGCACGAAATGGAAGAAGACGTTCGAGACAAATTGAGAGATATATTTGATGTCTGCGATGAGGACAAAGAAGGATTTATAACCATTGATCATTTTAAGAATTTGGCAAAGGAACATTTTGGTACTGAATCTGACGGCCAGGTAAGCTGTGACAGATGTTGATTAGATCATTCTTGGCAATCATTAAGTATTCAAAACCAATTGACACCTACTGCTGGAACTAAATGGTAGTTTGTTAATGACTCAACTAACTTACATGGTTTCAGTTTAATCAAATATATGGTCAATAATTTCCTAATAATGTGCAAATTCGTTGCTTCCTGTTTCTCAAGCTGCTAAAAATACCTGCTTGTCAGATGCATAACAAATGTACAACATGTAAACTACATTTCCCTGTTATTTTGAAAACGATAGTTATGTGAAACTGTTTTGCATAGGTTTATACGAGGGTCCCAATGATACGTATATACTGCTAATATTTATCCCACAGAAAATAACTTGCCATGGCATTACATAATTCATATCATAATGATTTATGAACATGGTGAAGATACATGTATATTACATTATTTTATATTTTCAAGGGATAGGTGATGAATATTAATTCCCCAAATTCAATAAATATATTATAATATTATTGGTTGTTATATACATTTTTCTTGATTGTAATTGAGATTTATATGACAAAGTTCATATTTGCAATTTTGTAAATTTTAATAACACTACTCCAGGAATGGGCCTATATCATAGTTGCAATTACCCTGTCCGTCCATTTGTCCAAACAAATATTGCATTAAACAGAATGGCTTCATATTTAGTCAGCAGCTTGATATTATACATGTTGTACTATGAGTTATAAGGTGTGAGCACTTTACCAATTTATCAGATAAATGTACCTAAAGCTATATCCTGTTTGATGATAATTAGAACTTTGCAATATGTATGTGCATGTAAGTTGAATGAACTTAAAAAAATTCGTCCCACATTTCTTGAACAAACCTACTCACAAAAAAACATCCTATTTTGTTTGCAGCTCAACAGTGATAAGTTGTATTGTATGATAATTTTTCAGATCTGTCAGACATCTACTTCTTATTTTATGGTACTCTGAATTACAAGTGGGGTATGCTTTGCTCTCACCCCATACTGAATTGACTGACCCCATATATATCGTATTTAGGTCACTAGCACACTGTGTAGCTAATAGTATCTATGTGCAATATTGCCCCATATTTTCATTACATCATACAAACTAGGACTATGTATCAACTCAGAAAAGACTTAACTATTTCTTCCTGGAGATGATTTTTTGCACAATTTATGTATGATTTTTCACTGCATAAGTGTCTTTTAATTTTGCTTATGTCCATTCCTAATATATTATTTGTATTTCTTTTTGCATGTCAATCTATGTACAAGTACATTTTATCTTATTGGTTTTAGATAATGCATGTAAAAGTAATTGCAAATTGTATTGTACACAGTAGTGACAGTACTAGATGTTTTACACAAGTTCAATTCGATCTTGCTTCATAGATTCAGAATGCAAGTTGCATTAAACAATGATGTCTATTAAATTCAAAACTTGATGAAAATGTCAGTTTCAGATAATGCATTACAGGGATTTAGAAGACATCTTTTTGATAGGCAGGGATGTCATATTACTAATGTGCATTCTATATTGTACATGATTCGCAATGTCTCCTTTTATCCCTGTTGTGCTTCTAAGGAGAACATGCATCGTTGAAAATTAGCCATGGTACACATTACATGCATGGTAAATTCAATAAGAAATGACATATAGTTTTGATGATTAAGCCATAAAAACAAATGCAAATTGAGTGTTATAATTACAATGTATGTCCTTTTTACACAAAAAATGATGCATTATTAAAGAATATTATCCATTGTAAATTTCTCCATTTACGTACATGTAAATCATGTATGTTCAACTCAGTTGCTTTTACAGTTGTTAATTCTTTGTCTTGTCTCAGTATTCATGGTATTGAAAGTTAAGAGTGTCATGAATGTATACCATACATGTAGGTATATATCACTTTAACTTTCCTATCCAGTATCAACTAAATAAATATAGACCTTTCAAATTATCTTAAAATTAATCAATTAGATTTCCTGTATTGTAATACTTAATTTACTATTAGATCTATATTTAGTGCACATGTACAAATACAACATAAAAATTCTGACAAAAGTACATATACGTTGTATGTTGTATCTAGGCTGTATAGTTCTACATTTTTGGTGAGGTAGTAATTATGGTATAAGAATATTTCAAACTATGAACTTACATCACATATAATCATGTGTCTGAATAACCTGTGTACAATTATTTTAAAACAAAACCTCTTGTCAAACTTCTTACCTGTACATGTATATAAATTGTGTTTATAAACACTGCTTTATAAAAAATCTTGAAGTTTCAAAATTCAAAACTTTGTTAAAAATCAAAATCGTCTCCTTACCCAACAAAACCTACCTCTGATACTTAAAGGGGCATTAGCTACGAGATACAGAAAAAAATTAAATATGATTTTTTTTATGTTCAATCAATGAACGTGAAATAGTGATATACAGCTGAAGGATGCCTCCGGGTGCGGGAGTTTCTCGCTGCATTGAAGACCCATTGGTGGCCTTCAGCTGTTGTCTGCTCTATGGTCGGGTTGTTGTCTCTTTGACACATTCCCCATTTCCATTCTCAATTTTATATACATGTAGTGATATAATAATTTGCTTTTAGCAGCCAATTTTGGTACAGTTTTGTCAAAATAAGCAAAGAAACATAGCTAGAAAAGCTGGAATACTTTTTAAGGAATCGGTACCAATCTTGTCCATGATTCCCCAGATTATTGCTACAAAGACTTGAATGTAAGAACATAAAATTACCAAATAACCTCTTTAAACTTCAGAAATACTACTATATATTAGTATGTTTCTGCTTCTGTTTGGTAAAAGGAGATAAAGCTCTACATGTATTAACACAGTGCTGATAAAGAGTGGGAGAAACTGATATTAAAAAAAGCCAGAGTCAGTTTAAGCATGATATATTGAAATTGTCCCAAGTCAGAAATCTTTGGTATATGATGAAATAGCCGGGGAAAATAACTCAACTTGGACCTCCATACTTAGATACTCAATCAAGATAAAAATTAGTTTTGTATTTTCTTTTATCTTCTTTTATATATTAATACATAATTTTGAGACAGACAGGTTTTGTCACTTATTTTGCCTTTTTTCAGGAAATAATAGGTATCATTCAACTTTTGGACCCAAATGGTAAAGGAAAAATAAGTTTTGACGAGTTTTGTAGTGGAGTTCAACAGATCACAGATATTCGATCACCTACCAGTACTCCAAGTAAATATATATAACACAAATCTGATTTATAGAAGTAAAGATTATCCTGTACCTTATATTGACCATGCTATAAATATTTCCAAATATAATAGATTGTCTAGCTAGCTATAGATTTAATGTGCAAAATGGAAAATGTCTGAATTCATATCTAGATGGTAATAAATCAGAATGAACTAGATGGTGTGTCTGTAAGCTACAAATGCAATTTGCCAATAAAAATTCATGTAAAAAGCTTATTACACTTTGTCCTGAATACTAAGTTCAAGACAATCCTTTCCATTGCAAAATGTACAGGACCATTTAAATATCAAAAAGTCATACCACATCTCCTTATTTTTCTGCCCTCTCCGTAGCGGAGGGGGTATTTAGTTTTACCCTTGTACATACGTACAACTCAAAATTGGTTTCCGTTCTCTACCTTTAGTTTGCCTCAAACAAACGTTATGAAATTATACACAATGCTTATTACCACAAAATACAGATCAAGTTTGAATTTTGGTGGCTTCACTTTTATCGTTCTAAAGTTATGCCCCTTTACAAATGGAAAAATTGCTGAATTTTTGGTTTCTGTTCTCTAACTTTAGTTTGCCTCAACCAAATGTTATGAAACTTACACACAATGCTTATTATCACAAAACTCAGATCAAGTACAAATTTGGGTATGTCACTTTTACCGTTTTGAGTTATTAAATATAAGAAGATGTGATATGAGTGCCAATGAGACAACTCTCCATCCAAGTCACAATTTGTAAACCATTATAGGTCAAAGTACGGCCTTCAACACGGAGCCTTGTAGTGTAACAATACAACATTATGTCCTTTTATAACATTATATGCAAGCGGTGGCATCATCTGTGTCCCATGAAAACATTCCCCATTTATTTATTTAACTGTACATTATACATGTATAATAGGCATGATCGATATACAGTGACATCCATTTATTTTAGTGAATACCAATTTTCATGGATACTTTTGTGGATTCTTGATTTTCTGGGTTTACTAAAATCTGCATTGAAGCCTATAGAAAATGTGTACTCCATGGAATATTTAAATTTGTTTACCTATACAAACAAAATCCATGAAAAATTGGTATCCTTCAAATAAAAATGAATCCACAGTAGATTAAATTATAAAGAGATAACTTGACAAAAAACTGAGTATTGATAGGCATGACTAGCATCTATACTTAATATTCCTCTCCATTCATAAACTTAGAATTAAAAAAAAAGAAGGGCTTTAGACTGAAAATTGCCGAATCCCTTTTAATATGGTATTTGAACTTCACTTCACCATGATGATATTTAACACAATTATTGCTCTTGGACAAAACAAACTTCATTAAAATTGCATTTATTCTAAGCTTGTTTTTTTTTGTACTAAGAAATTCTTGAAAATTTTAGTTGTCCATATCTTACTTCCAGAGGTTCAGTATATTTTTGTCCTTTCCATAAAATAAAGTAATTGAACAGATGAGTCTTACTTTGATATGATAAATGTTGTATTATTTGAACATGATTTGAGTGTTATCCCTGGCCCTTACTTAAAATGAATCTCAGTAATTTAGCCTAGTATCAGAAGAGTTCATGCAAATGCCAATTACATGTAATGGTCCTAACATGGCTGTAATATTGGTCACTGGATGTTAAAAAGACATTAATCAGCACATGAAGTATTGAATGCATATCATGATTGAACCTGTCAGTTTATAAAGCATACTTATTGTTATAAGATAACATGTATCGGCATCTAAGGACATAATTTTGTTTTTGTATTGATGTCAGGTTTATAAACACTCTTGGCTGTTTCTTGTAAATGTGGGTTCACAGGAGCCTGACTGACAGCTTTGATAAAACTAAATTTCAATCCCTGAATCTAGCAAGAAACAAGCAATATCCTAAAAGAGAGATTTCAGAAGTCGTATTGCTTCCAAAAGAGAGGAAGTTGTCAATAGCTCAGTAACTTCAAGAAATCCATTGATCTCAGAAATGTACATTTCAATATTTTATTTTTGTGAGGGGAGGTGGGTTTTAAACCAACACGTTGAGCTGGATTTTTAACGTGCTAGTTCACAAGGTAACAGTCTGCAGGAAGACATGTCACTTTACCTGGACACATTATCCTGACTCCGAGCTGACCAGTCTTTGCTCTTACTCTTTTATGTCATGTGCCTAGCAGAGAAGCAGCAAATACCAATTTTAAAGTCTTTGGTTTTACCCAGACAGGGTTCGAAACCCACGACCTCCCACACTCAAGGTGAACACGTTACCAGAAGACCTCCAAGGCGATCATTTTCCAATGTGTTTCATAGTAGATTGAGAACATAAAACCCACAAATTTCCCAAAACATCTATTTATTACTTAGCAAATCAATAACCAATTAGGAGTAAGAGCAATAATGGTTGCTCAGAGTCAGAATCCAGACATGGCCTTATAGGGATGGATCCAGGATTTTTTGAAAGGGAGTGTAATTCCATAGAATAGATTATATAAAATATATATTTAATTTTTTGGATGATTTTATGGGAAAAAGACATATAAATTGTGAAAAACATGATATAAATATTTTTGGGCGATCAAAAGGGGTGTACGCCATCTGCAACCACCTGGATCCGCCACCGTGGCTTACTAGATTTTCAAACAAAAACAATTCCCTGATTTTTCAAAAGAAATTAATTTGTTTTCAAAGATGAAAATATGACAGATTGAGTAGATATTTTAAGTTGCAATATGCTGGTACTTATAGTAATTTCTCAATAAAATGCCATCCATTAATTCAATTACTTACCTTTCCCACCTTCAGTGACAGCAATTAAACATTAATTAGATTACACCACAGGTACATGTAGCTCTGAACTCTTGTGTGGTTATAACAATTTACTGCATGTTTATTTAGCAACTGTTAATACACCTTATCTCAAACCTTGGGGCTATTTGACTTCAGTTGGGTTTCTCATAAGTAGAAGATTGCTGATTATGTAACAAAAGGAAATCCTGTCTGTAAACCAGATTGGGGTTATAAACTTTTGACCAATCAAGTTACTTAGCCAAATTTACAAATCTTAAAAATAAGTATAGGTGAACTAATCATCACATCATTTTTCCATGTTTTTCATGGCAGACAATAGTGCTAAATTTTCAAGAAAAGTGAGAAAAGTATGTCAGGCTCTAGGTGTATTTGTCGCTTTTTGAAACTTATGTTGGATAAGTTTCTGAAATTCCTAAGGAGAACATTTTCTTCAAGTGCTAAAATGTGTGATGCTTCAACTACAATTCATGTTGAACAGTGTACACAGACTGTTAGGAGAAATTCTCGACACAAACGTAGAAAGTTATCAGATGGTACAAAATCTGGTTTATCTTGTAATTGTCATAGAAGGGATGTAGCTGTCCAGGTTTCAAGAGAAACTTTAGCTGCAAGGATACTTGTTACTGAAAAGACAGGTATTTTATTCATTTTAAACAAACCACTTTGTTTACACCAGGAAGTTAACTTTGAAAACTTTTCTGGATTTTGATGAGCATTTTCTTTCGGTCCTTGCCACAGAAGATGGTAAATTATGAACAAACACTTTAGTCTTATTTGATAGGGGCCACCTAGTTACAAATTTTAAATCACCTTGTGTTGTGCAGATATCTATTGTCCCTCTGTTGTCTATATGAAGTAATACAATACAATTAAGAGACTATCGTTTCAATGTGGAGATTGAAAAAGTTGTAGCATATGACAATAATTTATCTTTTTTCTATGCATCGGCAAGTTTTTCACACAGGCAAACTAAGAAAATAGCATGATTTGAATAGATGTATGCTTAAAAATTCAGCCACACTCTTCTAGTTTGACCTGTTTAAAACCTACATTAAGGTGATGTCAACCATAAGTTGATGTTTTAGTTCAGACAACATTGTATTGATCCCAACATTCCATAGATTTCTGGAGTTATCACATTACTTTTAAGTGTAAAATCGAACACAAAAAAATGGACTATCTAGGAACTAAAGTTTTTTTACATATAGGGGTCATTACAAATATTTTTATCCAACTTAGTTTATTTCTAGTATCATCAGTGGCAAGAAAAGAAAATTCTCTTCAAAATTCAGAAACGTTTTTTGACTTTCTGAAATCTAGGTGCTTTAAAACTTAATTCAATTGCACAGTTTTTTCTGTACTCATGTTGTCATATGGTTATTAACATAGGTATTTTTCTCAAATAATAATGACTACCATAACATGAGTCCATAAGTAAATATTTTTGGTAGTTCTAACTGTTTAGGAAATTATGTCACCTCTGTCTATCACTGCAATGTTAGGTTTTTGGTCCTACTTCAGTTATTCAAAAGAATTGCAAATGGTTCTCTGTTTTCTCTGCTGAAAAATGTTGCTGCTTAATTTTACATGAGCAGTCTGCTTTCTCGCACAAATAAGTTTTCCTCCATGCTATTAGGTTATACAAACTGGCTAAAATTCCATTCAAATCATGGCTAAAAAAATGCATCCAATTTCAAATGAAGACTTATTGTTCTCAACTGAAAAAAAAGACACATTAGGCTATTAGGGAATGCCCTAAAAGTATTATGAATCTTGATAGCTACACATATAATTGTATTTGAATACTGAAGGTATCAATTTTAGACATTTTTACCTTATAGGTTTGTTACAAGCCTATGTTCAGCAGACTAGTCCAATTACATAACATGTATGCTTTTTAATTGAATAAAGTATGATAATTTAAAACATTGTACATGTTGTATATATAAAGTATGCAAAGGATAGTCAACGATAAAATGTTTAGATTCTTTTACCATTAGGTTCCAGATTCCAGAATGACTTGTATTATTAAATTATTCAGTATATGAATAACACATAACTGAGAGGGTGATAGAGCAGATTGTTACCCCGAGAAAACATTGTCAACCAAGGGGAAGCCAAGGTTGACAATGTATTTTTCGAGGGGAAACAATCTGCTCTATCACCCTGTCAACTATGTGTTGTTTGATTTATAATACTGAATGTTCTGTTATTACTGTCTATTAACATTCAAATTCGAAGTAATAAACTATGACATCTTGTACATAACAATCATTCATATTTGATAAAGCGCACAATTGATCAAGCGTCTCCGTGAAGGGTAATAGAGTATTTGCCATGGGATAGAGTAAATGATCTCCCTTGTATTTAACCAATCAAAATATGGCATTTTAACATGAAGAATAATGATACATATTAATTTATTATTTTTTCAGTTCAGAAAAAGGATCCATTTTCGACATTAAATTTCGATTTGTTAGGAGACGTATCACCCACTGAGGTAGGTACATGTATAGCATACAATTTATATGATCTACAGTTAGGTTGACGATCTCTAAAGCGAAGGCCTCCATCAGAAGGAAATATCTCTGCTTCAACCACTCTGATCACACCTACCCACAAACATAAGCTTCATAAAATCGTGTTTTCAAAGATTTGAAAGAGGATATAGACTATCATTGTATAATGATCAGGATTAAATTTCTGTAATACTTTCTGGTTTACAAGTTAAATGTCTTTCAGTAGACTTTCTATATATATTTACTTTGCAGAAATAAGTGTATCCTCTAAATATAGTAATTTTGGACCAAGCTGAAAATGTTGAAAAGTACATTATAATTTTTATATCCAATTTTCAGAGATTCTTATAAATTAGAATAAAGATAATTAGTCATATCTTTATATTCTAAGCTTATTTGAATATTTTATCTCTACTATATCTGACTTTATTTCCAAAGGCCCTTTTACATAATCAGAGATATCAAAACCTTATCTCCAGTTTTATGCAAATCTATTGCTTTGTCCTATTACCTATGCTTTACAATTTGCCAATAAATATTCTTCAGTCATATCAATAAGATTTGATAAGCTAGTTTGACCAGGCCCCCTTTAATCAGTTTATTCGCTCCATACATGTACAGTTAATTTGTATTTTATAATTATATATATTACAAACCCAATCTGTTTCCATCAAAGTTTTATTTTTAAATTGAGTTTTGCTCCATAATTTTTTTTTATACAGGTTTTCACAATAAAAAAAAATATAAAAAATGAAAAACTTTGTAAATGGGTCTTAAAGCATCAATCTGGCTTGTATTTTAAATATGACTTAATTTAGTCAGGTTACTTGATACAAAGTTTATATGTATGAACCTATGATTGGAATTCGGTTGTAGATATTATTTATTTAAATCCATATAATTATACAATGTGAAGGTTTTCTGTTTGTAAGATAGAAAGATAAATTTCAAAGCAAAGTGCCAAATATTTTGGTAGTTTGTACAATATTGTTGTTCAATGACTTGAGAAAAATGGCTAATATTTTTGTCATTGTTTAGGTCAGTTAAAATAAGAAATCTCACTAATTTAAATGTTGAGAGGGTTTGATCACGAAGATTAAATTTGATCAGTGATCTTAAATGGTCAGTATTTTAAAAATATTTCAAAAGATAAAAAGTTGACTATTTGCAGTTCATACCATGATAATAGATTAGTTAGTGGTAAGCAAATCTTAATCTCAAAAAGCTTTTATCTGACCTGTAATCTTAATCACAAACAACAATACACAATTGTCAAATATAATTAGTTTCATATATATGTACATGTTACATGTATGAACAAATATGTGTTTGTCAAAAAGCTGTGAAGTGAAGTCATAAAGGTGTACACATGTAAATAAAATGCAATTCCTTTGAGGATAGGAGTCAAATATTAGAAGAATAATACCAACTTGAAGGTCGATATAAGTATATTTAACATTTAAAAGGAACTATGAACTAAATTGTGAGTAAAAGGTAAAAACAACAAAACTAATTTCAAAATTTTTAAGTGCAGGAAACATTTAAAATTAATGTTTCAATAATTGAAGATTCAGACTAATTTCCAACTTTCTTCTAGGGGAAGTAAGATAAATTTAAACCTGTCTTATTGGCAAATACCTTACATATCGTTTTATTCATTCATGTAGCAAAACTAACCACTTCATTATACAATCATTAATAATCTTGGCAATCAGAACTTGTTTCTGTCAATGATTTGTATAGTAACTACCTACATGTATACAAATCTTTGTTTCTGTTAAGAGAAAATACATGTACATGAAATAAGAATTGTCTGCTTTATAAATTTGAGCAAAGACTGCCTGAAATTGTTCTATTCCAAAATAGAAAGTTGGTTGATTTTTGCTCTTGCCAGCAATAAAAGTAATGTTCCTTAGATGTTCATATCATTACATCCCATTTCCTATGTTCATCTGATGAAGTGGTCTATTAGTTGAATATCTGCAGTGATCACTCGCAAGTCAACACAAAGGTTGTGAGTTCAAACCCTGTTTCTGACAGGTTTGGTCAAACCCAGCTTATGGCAGGAGTGTTCATCTCCTGTCTGAATTCACTAGAATGCCAGTATTCCTGTTGAAGTTCATTGTTCCCTCCTTCTTCCTCCAGTAAAAACTTGCTGCCATAAAATAGCCAAGAGAGTTAGAAGTAGCTTTTAACACCAACAATAAATCGATATTTGTATATCTGAAAAAAGGTTTTGGCATCAGTCAACCATACCTGATGAAGATTATTGTGCCATCAAATTTAGTATTGTATGGAAATTTTGACAACCACAATGATTCTATAAATTGACTGTTGTATTAAGTATAACTTAGGAATTACAGAATCTTATAATTCTTAAGATTATCTTATACATTGTAGGATATACTGTAGAGTACTTTCTTACATTTAAATGGATGTCAATAGGTTTTTTGTCAAGCCTGCGGCTTTTGTCGCAGAAAGCTTGACATAGGGATAGTGATGCGGCGGCGGCGGCGTTAGCTAACTTCTTAAAAGCTTTATATTTTAGAAGATGGAAGGTCTGGATGCTTCATACTTTGTATATGGATGCCTCATGTTACGAAGTTTCCGTCAGTCACATGTCCAATGTCCTTGACCTCATTTTCATGGTTCAGTGACTACTTGAAAAAAAAGTTAAGATTTTTTGTAATGTTAAATTCTCTCTTATCATAAGTAATAGGATAACTATATTTGGTATGTGCGTACCTTGCAAGGTCCTCATGCCCGTCAGACAGTTTTCACTTGACCTCGACCTCATTTCATGGATCAGTGAACAAGGTTAAGTTTTGGTGGTCAAGTCCATATCTCAGATACTATAAGCAATAGGTCTAGTATATTCGGTGTATGGAAGGACTGTAAGGTGTACATGTCCAACTGGCAGGTGTCATCTGACCTTGACCTCATTTTCATGGTTCAGTGGTTATAGTTAAGTTTATGTGTTTTGGTCTGTTTTTCTTATACTGTATGCAATAGGTCTACTATATTTGGTGTATGGAATGATTGTAAGGTGTACATGTCTAGCGGGCAGGTGTCATCTGACCTTGACCTCATTTTCATGGTTCAGTGGTCAAAGTTAAGTTTTTGAGTTTTGGTCTTTTTTTCTAATACTATATGCAATAGTTCAACTATATTTGGTGTATGGAAATATTTTATGATCTATTTGTCAGTCACGCAGGTTTTATTTGACCTTGACCTCATTTTCAAGGTTCATTGCTCAGTGTTAAGTTTTTGTGTTTTGGTCTGTTTTTCTTAAACTATAAGCAATAGGTCAACTATATTTGTTGTATGGAAGAATTGTTAGCTGTACATGCCTGCCTAGCATGGTTCATCTGACCTTGACCTCATTTTCATGGTTCATTGGTCAATGTTTAGTTTACTTGGTTAATGTTAAGTTTATGTGACAGTTGTAATAAAGCTTTATATTTAGGACTATCAACATAATATCAATGATTAGTAAAGAAGGAGAGACATTTCAGCGTGTGCACTCTTGTTTTAGTATACAAATGTTTACTTTAGTTGCTTAATATACAATAAATTAAAATGCACACTAATAGTAGTTCCAAGTGAAATATTTAGGTTTAGCTCAGGGTTTATAGATTTAAGTTTTTATAACATTAAAAGTTGTTCAGTCATTGATATTTTGTGAATAAACACTGTTGTATCAAATACGATTTCCTTGGTAAAACTCCTAGTGATATCATAGGTTGTTCATGTAAAGCTTGACCATGTACCTCAAGTGACCTGTAATTGATCACATCTTTGTCTTTTGGTCTGTGGATAGTTGTCTCATTGGCAATCATACCACTTCTTGTTTTTATAAAAACCTGTCCAAGAACCTTGTGTAACTGCTTTTGGAGTCGAGATAGTTTTCTTTTCTTGAAATATTTGTCTGTTTTTACATGGACTGATGTGATCAGAAGTGAGTGAGGTACTATATATTTATTTGTCACTGTAAGAAAATGCCAGATTAAGCAGCAATAGGCCCCATCTATATAGTAATATTATTGTTAAAGCAGTTTTGTACTTGACTATAAATATAGAAATGTAGTTTTTGGCACTCTTCTTTCAGTGGATAATAGCTAGATTGTATATTTTTATTATTTTGAAGTGTGCTTTTGCACAATCATGCAACAGTCTAATAATCTATTTCACTCTTATTCTTTGAGAAAGCAGACATGTATTCAATTACAGAAGAATTTTCAACATGAATGATTTTAAACTTAATGTTTTACAAGGTTAATTTTCTCATTATTTTTACATTAGCACCTAATCATGGTGTATTTAGGTATTGTTTTCTTATGACTGACATTTATAGTACTAATTGACATGTATTTGATACTTAAGTATGTCCTAGATTATTAATAAAAGAATCGTATTACTACATGAACCAGATTACAATGTGTAGGTATAATATGTATACTGGCCGACCATTAGAACAAGAACTACATGTTTTACTTCTGAATTCAAGCAAAAAATGATTGATAATTTGCTGTTAGTCTTATGTCCAGTGGCAAGATTCATGGATTTTGTCATTTGCCAATTGTACATGTAAAATGCTTTGTTTACATAAAATTTACTGTTAAACAGTGCTCAGTATATTGCATGCATAAATATATTGTAGAAGCAATACAGCCAAAATATAAGGGTTTATTTAGTATAAAAAAAATCCTAGCACTTTAATAATCATTCAATGACTGACTTGATCATGTTAATTAATATAATTATGAGGTCAATGATAAAACTTATACATATATTTTATCAGTTACCTTTTCAGAATATTGTCTTAAATTTGAGAAAATTGATCTTTCTATTTGGGAAAATGAATAATATCCGGGATAAATATTTACATTTAATGCAGAGGAACAAAAAGTCACATATTTTCAATAGATACTTCCCACATATGTACTTGAAATCAATATCATAAAATATAATAAAATATTCATGTTTAAAGTTAATATAAGAAATGTATCCTATGCTAAGAACTATAAAAATGTATGTATCAAATAAACTGTCTTTAAAGTTTCTGAGAGCCTTAAATCATTTGAAGGTTGTATACATCTACTTTATTAAAAAATACATAAATGGCCTTGTTCAATGTTGACATTTTGACATTGTTTTAAAGGTATTTAACCTAGGACTTTTCCCTATAAAAGATTTTTATCAAACCATTCTAAAATCAGCCATAAAAGGACATAAGTAAAATTTGAAGGTATCAGAACATTTGTTTTCCCTTTGGCAGTACAAACGGTATTTAGTACATATATATAATTTAGGACAATAATTACATGTACGTGTAACAAGATAGACTATGTTTTCTCAGGAAAGGTATGATCTTATATGCTGACATGGTATCAAACCAGTTGAATCATCAAACATTCCTCCATACCTCATATTTATTGCCATAAAATTTTGAAATGTATCAGAAAAACATATTTTGTTTGTACTAATCTGTCTACATTTTACAGGTTGTAGAAACACCCAAATATTTAACCTTATAGAACAGTATTAAATCATTTATCAATACCATTTATATTTCAGTGCCAAGAGACGTCAGAAGCCAGTGCCTATACATTCAATGAATACGATACAAACACTGATGAAGACAATGGTGTACTTATAGATTTATCTACTCCCGACCCTATACGAAGGAATAATAATGTAAATAGATCATTTAACGGGTAAGTTTGTTTCAGAAATGTAAAAAGTAATATTAATGTACATGTATCATGTATCATTTAATTGGTAAGTCTACCCCCAGAACCTGTCTGAAGGAATAATAATGTACATAGATCTTCAAATGGGTAAGTCTATCTCAGAGCCTGTACCAGGGAATAATAATGTATATAGATCATCTAATGGGTAAGTCTATCTCAGAGCCTGTACGAGGGAATAATAATGTACATAGATCTTCTAATGGGTAAGTCTATCTCAGAGCCTGTACGAGGGAATAATAGTGTATATAGATCACATAATGGGTAAGTCTATCTCAGAGCTGCTATGACAGATTAAATACATATATAAACATATCTCATTTTATAGGCAGGTCTACCAAAAAACCTGTGCTAAGAAATGTTTAAAAAGGAACGATATTGTGACATTCATAGCTCAAGTGCAGCCATTATCTGTATGAAGGAATAGTATGTCTACTAATACCCCATTGATTTTATCCACTGAATAAAGTTTCCATACCCTGTCTGTATATAAAAAAATATTTAGTCTTTTCTCAAACCTTTAAGAGGAAAAAGAACAAATAAATCAGATGTATATATGTTTAGTACTTTTACAAAATACCGAACATGCGAGGGCTTAACACTAACAGCCAGTCAAGGTCATTAAAAACTACTCAGTAGTACTACTTTTACATGTGAAAGAAGTGATAGTTATAGATTGGAATAGATGATGAAATAGGGGGAGCGTGATAATTAATCTGAGATTTGATCTTTCTTTAAATAAAAGAGAAAAAAAAACAGTTTAAAAAACCTTGATTGTATATCATGAAATAAAAGGTTAAAGGATAGTTTCAGAAAGAATTGAGTACATTAAATTTGTATATGTGATGAATTAATTGGATTTCTTATTGAAAATGTGTTGTTTGATTGGAAAGAGAATTATACAAGATTATATTGTTGTTCTTTATTTCTTGTTAAACAGTATCCATGACTACACAGATTATGGGGAAGAAGATATAGAATCAGACACTTCTGATCCATCGCATAACAAGTAAGTTGTCTCCCTTTAAGGTAATTTGACATCAAGACAAATGCAATAATGAATAGCCTTGGTTGTTAATAGAGGCATAATTTACAGGTACTTTTAACAGAGGGGTAATGTTTGTTGTTTTAAATTAAAAATAGAACACTAGCTAGAGTGTTTTAAGATTGTATACTAACAACCTGTATGTAAATTCTTTATCAAATACTTTGGGATGAAAATAATAGTTTTACTAGGTTCTTCTACAGTATTAATAGATGGCTTTGTTGAGCAAGCTCTTTGCATTCAGAACTAACAGTGCTTATAATGTGTTAAAGCACAAATGTTTCTGTAGACTTTGGTTATGGATATCTAATCGGTTTTTGATGTCACAAGTTGTAGCTTATATTTTCTCAATATTGGTAAATTCACATTATTTGCTTTTTACAGGAGTTGTGTAACTTGTGATAAAATTAGAAGTAAAAGGGGTGTGCATTATAGAGAAAAACGTCGGACTTCAGGGTACACAATATTTATACATTCAAAATGGTGATGGCAGTTAAGAGCTTTGCAGAAAGTAACATGAAAATTTGTTGTTTAGTTATTGGATAATTTGTTTAGAGTTCATCCTTGTAAATTCAGAAGACAGTATCATCTCTCATTGACTTAATATATTTCATTAACTTGGTAACTAAGTGTTTACTAGATAAATTCTAGAGTATGAAACCTTGAAATATAAATTTGGTTTTATTGGAATTCTTTTTTAATCTGATATTTGACAATTAAAAGTGAAATTTGCAAAGTTTTCTATGTAGTTGGTATAATGAATTGTTTTTGATTAAATATTTTGTTCTGAAGTCTACAACTTGTGCCACCAACAAAATATTTACATGGGCGGCAGAGTGTTATATTAACTTGTTTTAGTGTTATAGAAGCAGTGTGTGGCACAAAAGAATGTATATAATTTCATTGAGCACATGAACTTTAGAAACATTTGACCTTATCTTTAAATGTTGTTAAATAGATTCCTATTGCAGAAGTTCAGTTCTTCAGAACAGAATATTTCAATTTAGTAAATAATCTGCATGATATATCTTTGTTTTTGTTCGTTATATCTTTTACTAAATTCTTTCATTATTCTATTTTATTTTTACTAACTGTACTGCATGCATGTTTTATTTACTTGCTTGACTTGTATTTTTGCATTAGTATTGCTTTTGCTTTAGGTGGTAGTATGTTGCAATTTACTAAAATATTGAAAATTTAATTTATTAACCTCTTTACTTAGATTAGGGTCTTCAATCTTATGTATAGACACCATACTATATTTTCTATTGTTGGGATGCTACCAAATCTCATTGATGTTAACCCAAATCATCTCTTATTCATACACTTGGATGAGTTATGAAGGCATCATCCTCAGATTAAGAAAACATTTATTTGATTTGCTCATGAAAACCGTTTTTTTTATTCCATTAATGGCATACTTGAATGAAGCAACTTGTATACTGTAAATTCAGAAATTATTGCGATGTTTTTATTTTTGCGCAAAATGCGACAGGGTTATAATCGCAATAATTTAAACTCGCATTTTGAAATTTTTTGTATGAATTAAACAGGATTTTTCTCAATATCGCAAAAATTAAAATCGCATTTTAGTCTAAAATGACAAAATCGCAATAATAAATGCACGCAATAATTTCTGAATTTACAGTAGATAAATTTGAAATTTTTCTGTTTGATATTTCATACAAAAATTTGGTAAAATTTTATATAACTGGAGAGCAAAACAGGAAATTGAAATTGAAATTACAGTGCCCAATATTTTAAAGAAACATGTAAATAGCAAGGTCATATGCTAATTGCAACTAATTAACTGGAAAAAATCCAATCTAATTAAAATAAGAAACTTCAATTGCTCCTCTTCTTATATGTCGTGCATCAAGGTTATTCAATGTGCAGCATATAAGAATGGGAACAATTACAGGATCATGTTTTAATTAGATTGTAGAAAATCCTGATTGACAATTTTTATATGGTTGAATTTAAGAAGTAGAATCATGCTTTTTGTAGATTCATTATGAAAATTGAAGTGATTATTGTAAGATTTTGAAATCCTCTTACACTGGAAAATCGTTTCAAATAAGTATTATTTTTGATTAATTCATGTACATATCTGTATATTGATCAGCATGACATATGTACATGCAACATACCGTACACAAAAAGAAACATTTTCTGAATCAGGACTATGAAATCAAGGAATATGGTTACAGGAAATAGTATATTGGTGCCATCTTTGGTGCTTTGCATGTTGTTACAGTTTTCTCTGTGCACACCTTTTGTTTGTTTGTTGTTTATTTTTGTGCCCAGGTAAGACATGGTATAATATCAGGTAAATATTGGATGAATCAGTTATTTGTGCAGCATCTGTTGTATTGATTTGACTATAACTTAAATAAGTCAGGTTTTATTTTTCTTTCATGAATTTTTGTTTATTTGCAACATTTTTTTGTATTTTATTACTTCACAAAATTCCTAACTAGCTTAGTGTGGGTGTTTGTCATGACGTTAATGTAATTTTTCATTTTACATTTCGATTTAACTTAATAAAATTTTGAAAATATTTGATACTGAAATATTGTATTTTGCAACAAAAAACAATAAATAGAATCAAGTTAGTTCTGTAAATTCTTAAAAATATGCAAACAATTGTTCTAAATCATTTCTGTCAAAATAAGTCTATTTCAATATAATGTTTTATCGCACCTCTGATAAATAATGATGTTATGATTGGTTTAACGTCGTCATAGTGACCCCTATGGATCTGTATGGGGCCAGTAGATTTTATATGGGGTTCATGACGTCACATTAACAATTGATGGTGACTTGATCGATTAATGTAATTGTATTTCATTGCTTATTTTTATGTATAACTTAGCAGGAAAAGTCTGGTGTGCAATAAACTCGTTATATGGTTCACTACTGACCCTTTCGGATCCATAGAGGGTTAGTAAAATCCATAGGAGATTCGGCCTTCGGCCTCACCCCCTATGAATTTTACTAACCCTCTATGGATCCGTAGGGGGACAGTAGCAAACCATATAACTTATATTATAAATATTTTCACTGTTATTATTAAAATTTTCAATTTGAGTAGTCTTAATTTATTTAGTTTGACTGTTAGGGGTCCAAACTTTAGTTGATTCGAGTTGTTACAAATATGTGGAAAAGATTGGCCTCAGTTTTTCAGCTTTGGATTGAGTCAAGTGTTATTTTTTTCCTAACCTTATCATGCTTATATAATCCTACCTCAAAACTGTGTCTACAGACCTAACAGTTATTTTATCAGGAAATATATACTTTATGTATTAAAATAATGTGATGAAAAGTTTATAACAATCAGTTTCCTGACAAATATCCTGTTCAAACTATGATAAAAATAGGAATGTTTATACACATCATCGTAACACAAGTAGTTAATTTGCATGAAAATTGATATATATTTTGATGACAGTCTTGAAGATTTTTACATATCCTCTTTTCATTTGCCATTTTAAGATTCCAATCCTCTTATTATCAGTTGATTTGGCATAAGGGCTGTTAAGTTCTTCAAAATATGAGGTGATACAATAAAATTTTTCTCTAAAAAATTTTAAATCATTGGGGAATGGACTCAATGAATGTGGGCCTATATAGAGTAATATGGATTTTCAAATTTTAAAAGATGGGACCAGCTATGCATGAATCCTCTGGGAAACACTCAATCAAAAGTAAGGTGCTGCATTCATTTTACTGTTGTTCAGTGTCCTCATCCATGACCAATACTGTTAAAGGGTCTAATTTCTTCTCCTGAAACTGATAAGGGTACTAAATTAAAATTATATTTTTAACATTTAATTGCAGTGGATTTTATTTTGGAAATTATGGAGAAGTGCAACAGAAGTAAGATCTTTGTTGTAAAACTGTTGTAATAGGTTTTCCATTGATAAATACATCAACCCAGAAAAGTGATTGCTTGATTGATTGATTGATTGATTAATACATCATTAGTGCTTATGGACTATATCATAACAAGTAACAAGAGCAAAATATCTTTATCATATTCTTATCAAATAACCTGATGTGAAACTTATAACACAACAGCCCCATTCAGCCCATTTATTTATTTCACTGTGTTTTTGTCATGTTTCTGTAACTATGAAAGTAGTGCTGTTTTTATGTTTAATGTACAAGTTCATGTTTTAATCACTCAGTTATTTAAGAATACATAAATCAAATTCTTAAAAACCATTTTTGCCCCAGGCAAACATCTTGTTAATGTTTAAAGATTATGTAACTGAGTTAACCTTTTCTTTTTGTGATAGATTTCAATGGTGCATATCCTGCTCTGGAACAAATTGTATAGTTTGTCTTTTTCATCTTTTTCAGTGCAAGAAAGTTAACATCAACGGCATATGCTGCGTAAGTTTTGTTTTTATCTTTTTCAAAGATAGTTCAAGAGAAAATTTGAAAATGTGTACAATGACTAACAGCTGTAAATGTTATTTCGTAAAGTCAAAAAATTGGTGACTCACTACAACGCTGCTTCAACCATTGTTCAATTGTAAATATCTGCTTTTTGTTAGTTGCCAGATTTCGTTTACATTTGAAAAGACAAAATCAGTATAAAATTTACAACAAAATGTTAGAGGGAAATCAACAGTAGTTTTAATGGAAATATCAAACAACACAGATTCCAAGTCAGTATTTTCATTACACGTGTAACATTTTTAGATTGTTCAGTTGTGTTTACATTGATACATGTTTTTGATGAATGCAAATAAATTATTTAAATAAATTGCATAGAACTATATCTTACCTGATAAAGCTTATAGTCTACATCAGGCTGATATAGAACAATGTTAAGATTTCATCAGTTTCCTCAAACATGGTTAGTTATTGCTGTCAGCTCTGACAAATCATACTTGAATAGGAAATTAAACTATGATTCAAAGATGACAATAAAAACTCCCCTCCCCCCCAAAAAAATTGGAAAACAATTTACTGACTGCAAATTAAACAAAAGGAAATGCCTATTAACTATTCCAAACTTTAAACCACTTTTTTTGGTAGTGAGACGAACTAAAACACTCATAGTATCAAGTTAAAAAAAGTTGTTGATCTGACATATAGCAGCCCATACAAGCAACTGCATTAATTAGGTCAAAGTCCACTCCAGTAAATAGCTATATATACTAATACTTGAGAGATTCACAAGATCATGTTTTCTCTGGGCTGTCTTATAGGGGAAAGACTTTTACTGAATTAAAAGGATGTTTACATAGTATGGGTAATTCTTATTTGATAGTTTTAATAAGATTCTCATATAGAGAGTATGATATTCTCATTATAGACAATTACATTCAAAGTCGAGAAGTCCAGCACCAGATGAAGTATTTGATGATATAGATGGAAACTTTCAACATTTAAATGATAGGGTAAGTCTCTTGTCAATAAACAGCAAACATTGGATGAAATACATATCCAATTGTTGTACAGTAAGACATCTACTGTTAAATTCTATTAATAACTGTGGTGATATTTAAAGGGACAGAACATGTTCAGTTTGTTTTTGTCTGTCTTTAAAAAATATATGGTTTTGAAATGAAAACTTGTGTATTATAGACAACTCACTGAATTAGAAACCTTATTAATTTCAACATACTACCTTCCATGAAATGCAAGTCAAATATAATTTCTTTACAGTAGCAATTACAGTCTCAATGCTATGATTTTGTCTTGACACAAAGTGTTAAAAACATTTTGTTTTATGATACATTTTTTAAAAACTTTAGATAATTATTTTTAAAAAAGGTAAATAAAGGCGGTAAGAAAGTTTTTTTTTGTCCCTGCTTCATATATTTGCAATTACCCCCAATATTTATTTTGTTACAGGTTCAGTTTCTTGAGAAACAGTTGACAAATTTGTCAGAAGAAAAGAGTAATACAGATGGTGCTCATTATAAACTTAAAGATGAAAATTCTGTGCTCATGGAGAGGTAATTATTCTTTAGATTTGTATCCTGGATTAGCATTACGTGAACCAAAAACCTTCATGAATAAGTTTAATTGATGGTTATTTTGTTAAATCAATCTGGTCAGTTTTGATTGGACATGTACAGTACCCAGTAATTTTCATATTTTTGTATACAGATATTAATTCGTAATAGAATAATCTTGTATAGCATTTCTAAAATTCCCCAAATTCCATTGTCTTCACCTTATAGTTGTATTATATACAAATGTTCCATTCAAATGTATATATATATATATATATAAAAACAAAGTGCTAAGAAACACAAAATTACTTGAGAATTAATTAATTAATTATGATAAATAACAGGGCAGCATTTAGAAAGCTGAATACAAGGTAACTTGAATGTAACATCTCTTGTCCTACATGTATGTCACTATATACATGCTCAGCTTTGTGCATCCCACTCTATCTGGGAAAGGTTGAATGCTTTTGTGATAGGTAGTTTAGAAGGTGGAGCTGGTATTCTTAATCAAACACCTGAGAAAACCATCAGAGCGTATTAAAATCTGTCTTTATTAATCAAGTGTTTAAGGTTAAAGTGTTCAGCAATATACACCTTTGCCATATATTTTTCTAGTGTTATATTTAAATTAAACGTGTGGTGTAAAAACTCGAAATACCTGTAATACATGAAGAATTTATAAATTTTGGTATTTTAAAAAAACTCTTATCAAACCTGATCCTTTCTTTGGACAAAAAATAAAACCTTTAATTACTGATTTCTATTCTTTCCTCAGTTTAAAGGGATAAAGTCCTTGATTTAGGCTTTCCCCATAAAAAATCTTGATTTTTTTCAGGAGAAATTAAACCGTCACTATCCTTTCTGCCAAAATAACACTTGACATGAAGATCAAGTATTTGACGTCTTTAATTTTATATTTCACAAAACATTAATCTAACCATCCAACATTATTTATTGTTCTCGGTTTTATAATGTTTTTTGAGAAGAAAGCTCTTATGTGTATTATGCACACTGATAGCCAGATTGGTTCCAAATTATCATCAAAGTTACAAATTTAATAGAGAATCGAACTAGCTGTTATATTAGGTGTACAAGTGTAAATTTACAAAAAAGCTCTGTTTTATCGTCCTAAAGTTTTCTATTAGAAATAAAAGTGAAAATATAGAATCTATTGCATTTAGTATTTTTTTACTTGACTAAAAAAGGCTCTTAGGATCCAATATTTTTAAAGTTAGATGTGTATAAATACATCATGAGATGTATTATATACTCGAAGGGTGTAAAACGAGCAAGTTACATATAAATGAGAAAAAAACCTCAACCAACCAAAATTTCTAGGGTTTTTACTACCTCCGTGTACAGATTTATCAGAGAAGCATATATCTTGATTAGTTGATTATTATCAATTCAAACTTTGGAGAATGACCTGTAAACAATGACCTATAGTTGCTTACATCTCTTAATTTTCACAATGCTGTAAAATCTCAGAAATTCTTCAACATTTTCTACTACAATTTTCTTTGATACCTATTATGTTCTAGGCATGTGAACAAACACTTGTCTAATATGTAAGTTTATACTATTATACGTTTAGCATAATGTGATGGGTAGTATACCAAGTTTTTGTCTCATGTATATTTTGTCACATTTTGTTTTCTCTAGTATTGTTGACAGGTAAGGCATGCACATATTATAGTGGTTGATGGTAGTAAAATGTAGTGGCTTATTGTTTAATTACTTATGTATTATTTTGCATTTATATTGTGGCCTTTCAGATTTTAGTTATTTATTTTGTTAATCTGTTAACTCATGTTTTGTGGATCTTTGTAACACCTGCCAATACCCAGTCAATTGTTTGAATTACAAAAAAAAATATATTTAAAAAAGTCCTTTCAATTTTCTTTTCTTTTAATTGTTATATGTACAATATTTATTTGTCTTTTTGTTTGCTCATTTTTACCTATGAATATACATAAATTTAGTATGGAACAGCATGCTTCTTTTTTTAAGTTTGTATCTCTATGCTTGATAAGGTTTCTCTTGCTGTTTTCTTTCTGTAGTTAATTGCATGTAGGCTTTATTTGATTATGGCATTTTTTTAAAGTCTAAGAATGAAACTAGGCTTGTGTTCTTTTTTTTTTTAATATATTTTTGACTAAATTTCTAGCTGAATCTTTAAAATGCTTATTAACTGGCTGTAGTAATACTTTACATTTCTTATGCTTATATCAGCATTTTAATGTTCTGAAATATTAATGTTGCAAAAAATCAATAAGTCCTCTTTATTAAAAATTCATAAAATAAGAAGATCTCCTGACATCTGATCTTATTATAGAAAAACATATATTTATATACTCAATTATGTATCAATAATGAAAAGAAGTACTCGTATCTCTTAATCAGTCTTACTCAGCAAATTTTACTCAATACTGCTTGTACTTCTCACAAAAAGTCAATTATAATAGACCTCGATTAAATGACTGTTTTGATGTTAATACATTAGGATGGTCCGTATTGATGTTAACCTTCATAACAAGAATTCCAACATGATAGATCTAGATTATCCTTTTAGGATTATTTCAAGGTTTTTCTCTTTTTCAAATATTGAAAATTCAATTATAAAAGCAGATACTTGTAATATATATCTTCCACTTTACAATTTTGTTTTTCTTATTTATTCCAGAATCCACATGTTAGAAGAACAAGTTAAAGATGTTGAGGTGAAATCTGATGAAAGAGTTTCAGATGAACAGAAAAAATACAAAGAAATACTGGTAGGGCACATGCAATAATGTATTAATAAAACAAGTATTTCCATTATGTTAGAAATAGACCTCGACATTGTAATGTAAACCATGGCTATTTTTCATACCTTCAGCATGCTTTACTGAACAGACCATGAACTGATAAAGCTGTCAGAAATCAATTTTAAGTTTCAGAAATATTTTACAAAAATTAAATATAAACTTTTTTATAATGCTTTTTTGATAGGGAAATTCGCACGTTTCACTTCTTTTTCACTTGAAAGGGAAGTGCCAGTCACAGAAAAGTACCAGATATATCCTCATAACATAGTATAGGTGAAAAATATCCACTAAGTGTTTCTTAGTTAGGAAAATATTCTTTTGATTTATATTTTTATGTCATATTTTGCAACATAATTTATACACTTCAATTAGATAAAGTGTATTTAGCAATTTATCTCCAGATCTAAAAGGTCATTCTTTGCTATGTATTGATTTAATAAAAAATAATGACACTTGAGTATTAGTTGATAGTATTATATATTAATGCAAATATTTCCTTTGAGGAAATTAATTCTGGTTTCACTTCATAATTCTATACAATTGGTATGATGACATGAGATTTTAGTTATAGACAAGATGCAAATCCAGCCATTGTTGTTTCTACAATAATCAACTTTATTTCACCTGGAAACATTTACAATCAGGTATTCTTCATCAGCATTAGACTTCTCACACCATCAATCATATAGTAAATTTACCTGTCTAATCAATAAAATCAATTATCTCACCTGTGTTAATCTGAGTACTGCACCTTGCTGTGGTAGACCACTAATGGAATTCTGTTTATATTGTAGTCTCGTCAAGAAAGGGAAAAGTCTGAACAAATGGAATACTTCACACAGAGGTTAGTTTTTTTTATTTCTACTAAAACAAAGGTGTAGAACTCATGCCATGTAACAATATCATAAATTGTCTCCCTTTGAAATATATAAGTAGGAAACAGTATAAGAATATGTATGATTATCTACCATGAAATCTACAAATAGATTATTTAAATGCTTCATCGCTTTCAAAACATTTATAATTAGACATATTTACAAACAGGTATTCTTCGTCAGCATTATACTTCACATACTATCAATCATATGTACAAATATAATTGTATTTATTTTTATTACAGGCTGCAGAATTTAGAAAAAGAAAATGAGTTGCTGAAAATGGAAAACCCCAGATTAAGGAGTGAAATAGATAGATTGAAAATAGTAAGTGTTACTACATACAAATATGATACTAGTTCCTGTGGGAGATTAGTGTGGGGGTGTATTCAAAAATAGGATGTGTAAAATGCGTACAAGTACAAAATCCATAAAATGCAAGTACAACTACTGTGGATTCATTAATATTCGTGGGTACCAATTTTCATGGATTGAGGAAAACTTGCATTTTCGTGGATATTTAATTGTGTGGCTTTGGCAAAGTTTGCATACATTCCTTTAGAAAACTTGTAATTCGTTGAACATTTAATTCGTGGTTCCCCAGTACCCACGCTATCCACGAAAAGTGGTATCCAACGAATAATAATGAATCCACAGTATAAGACTTGTAAGGTGTGTTACAGTTGATTGCATTTATGAAGGAATACATATAAATGAAAACAAGATCTACAAATAATTTTATTTTATCTCCATCAGTTAGACTGACTAATTTCAATAGGTTGGCTTGCTGGTCACACTTGACATCACCTGCCCTTTTGGTATAACAACACAGTGGATGGAGTCTAGAATAAGAACTAAGTTGATAACAATGTTCTGTCTTTGTATATGATATGTCACTATTTAATTTTTAATAGCTGCATGCCCTGATTATTTACTTCTTGAACCATTGGAAAATGAAACATTATATCTAAGGTATGTCATACTAGATGAACTTTCTGAACCCTAAACTGTGGTTAATTTCTGGTGTACAATCCTTCAGATAGCATTTTTATACGACCGCAAAAAATTTGGTGGTCATATATTGGTATGACGTCGGCGGCGTCCGAAGACACATTGGTTTTCGCACAATAATTTTAGTTTGAGTTAATGGATCTCTATGAAATTTTATCATAAGGTTCAATACCTCAAAAGGAAGGTTGGGATTGATTTTGGGGTTATGGTACCAATAGTTAAAGAATAAGGGGCCAAAAATAAGCATTTTTGTAACTTCCAGACAATAACTTGTGTTTAAGTGTATGGATCTCTCTGAAATTATACCACAAGTTTCCATACCACAAAGGGATGGTTAGGATTGGCTTTGGGGGGTTATGGCTGAAACTGTTTAGGAATTAGGGGCAAAAAAGGGGAAAAAACAAGGGTTTCCTGGTTAATGGACAATTTAAAAGAAGTGTAAGGGAGGTAATCCAAAAACAAAATTGTACAATGTTGTACAATGTTGGATTACCTCCCTTACACTGCTTTTAAATTATCTATTTAAGACTTTTATGATGTATTTAAATTGGTAATTATTGTTGCAAACTCCATTGGAAATTTGAATTGAGATTATGACGATATCTTGAGGGAAAGAATTTTTTTTTTTTTTTTTTTTTTTTGGAAAAGGGGGGGGGTGGGGGGCAATTTTTTTTTCATTTCAGATTTCAGATATTAAAAAGAAAATTTCTTCAAATAATTTTGAGGGGGGGGGGGGGGGGGGGGGTCAATTCGCAACAGCATAGTGTATTGCACAAAAGCAAAAAATTGAATATAAATTCAAATCATATAACCAATTCTAAGTTCTTTGACTACAGTTATTCGGTGTCAGAAACCTATTATGTGTCAAATATTTAATTACAATCAAAATTCAGACCTGTATCAAGTGGAATATTGTGTCCATTTTCGCCCCAACTGTTCAGGGTTGGACCTCTGCAGTCGTATCCAGCTGCGCTAATTTTTAAATGTAAGTCAGATGAAAAACAAAATTAAAATCACACAAACAAAAACCAAGGTTAAACATCAATGATTTTGTTTTTATTTTCACAGGAAAAATTAGAATTAGAAGATAAAATTACAGAACTACAAGTAGAATATAGCTCTGTTATGAATGAGAATTCTGATCTAAAGTTAAAGTTCGACAGAGAACGAGAAACTACTGGCCAGGTAATGTACGATAAGTTGTAAAGAGAATTTATAAAATTTCAAAACTGACTCAAGTAAAACAAATAAATGTGGATGATTGTATTTGCTGGAAACACATGTTGTTAGCAAAATATCAAAACAAGAAATGTAGAATTTGCCAAATTACGTAATCCTTTTTCTGCCCTGCCTTTGGTAGTTGTTGTCACGTCCATCCATCATGTAATAAGTTAAAGTTTTGGTAAAGAATAGTTTGTAGTCACATCAACCTGAAACTTTATACACATGTTCTATGTGGTGGACTGCTTAAGTGTATGCTAAATTAGGATTTTTACCCAGATTTCACAGTTCACGAAATTGTGATCTGTTAACATCTTGGATTAAGGTAGTTTGTGTTCACATCAACTTGAAACTAAGTACATATGTTCATTATTAAGTGAACTGTTTAATAATATGCCAAAGTAAGATTTGAGGGTTCACAGAACATGGTAATATGACAGTTCGAGGAGGACTTGGTGTCCTATGGACATGTTTTCCTCTTTTATTCCTCTTTTATGCCCCCACTGAGTGGCGCAGGCATTAAGGTTTTCCCTTGTCTGTCAGTACGTCCCAAAGTTCGTTTCCGTTCTCTAACCTAAGTTTGCCTCAACCAAATGTTCTGAAACTTTTATACAATGCTTATTACCACCAAATACAGATCAAGGTCGAATTTGGGTGGCGTCACATTCACCGTTCTTGGGTTATGTCCCTTTATAAATGAAAAAAAATTGTTGAAATTGCTTTATCTGCACTCTAACTTTTCATTGCCACTAAATTATCTGAAACTTATATACAATGCTTATTACTACCAAACACAGATCAAATTCGAATTTCACTTTCTCCATCCTTGAGTTGCCTTTTTTAAAAGGATAATTTGGTGAATTTGCTGTTTCCGCTTTCTAACTTTACTTTGCCTCTGTGTAAATGTTATAAAACTTATACACAATGCTTATTACCACCAAACACAGATCAAGTTCAAATTTGGGTGGTGTAACTTACACTGTTCTCATTAAGTGAGAAAGCAAAATGTCAATAGGTATGAATTTGTACATTGACCTTGCATATTTACAAGCTGGGGCCATCTGTGTCCCATGGACACATTCTTCCTTTATTTGTAAATAACAACAGCAAGATTATTGTTTGAAAAATATCATTAGGTGTGGTGACTTTTGAAAAATTGTATCAATGAATAAGTATGCTGCACCAAAATAATGTAGATCAACTTTATATTGATGATTAACTTTAGAATATATCTCATCAGATTAAATTTGTTTAGAAGATGTTATCTATGAATGGACTGAAACAGAATTTGGGGAATTTCATTGGTAAGCTTCATTGGGTAATCTCAATAAACAAAGATTTGTAAAGCAGAAAAATGAAGCAAAAAAATAAGCATTACAAAGTCAAAATTTGCAAAAAGATAACAATTTCATTACTCTCAATATGTTTTACAGAAATAAATCATTTGTTCAACTTACAAAGAATGCTACCATATACTGATTTTTTCACTCACTGCTTGCAGCTTTTAGATGAATTAGGGAAAGAATTGGGAGAATTACGACAGTATAAAATAGAAGCAGAAGTAAGACCAAGAAGAGACAGTCAAATACAAGTTCAAGGCAGATATCAAACTCTTCAAACTGAGATTCACAGATTAAAAGAGGTTGGTTACAAAAAATTGTATGGTACATGCTGCTTGGCTTTTGACAGTTACTGAACCCTAGTGTGAAGCTGCAATGAAAGTTATTTCAAATAATTTATCATACTGTTTAGCTCTACATAAATATTATATCAAATTTTTTACTGTTTAGCTCTACATAAATATCATATCAAAATTTTACCGTTTAGCTCTACATAAATATAACAGCAGTTTTTTATCCGATTTATGTATTTGAAAAATTAGCCATGTCTATCAAGATGTACACTATGTTTTTTAATCTATTAGACCAAATACTTTCAGCACTTGTTTGTTTCAACACTCACTCATCGTAGATTTTTATCATGAAAATATTTTTGGGTTCTAATTATAACAATATTAATTGATAAAGATATGAAAAAAGGTCTGAATTATTTTTTTTAATGAAGGTTAAATTATTGTGTGTCACCATGGAAGACTACTTATCCTGCAATTGACCTTTGAATTACACAAATACAGGTGTATAGATAACATAAAGTGATAAATGTCTAGTATACATTTGTAGTCCCCTGGTATCCTGCTTCTCTTGGGAGTAAATGATTATAATCAAATTACTCTTAAGTCACTGTTCAGTTTGGGGTCCTCATCGCAGTACATGTTTAAGTCATGTTGATTTCTTTGAAAAACAAATTCAATGGTTGGGAAGTTATACAAAATATATGTTTAAGTGTACATGTTAAATTGCAGGATAAATATTCGTACATTGTAGAAAAATATAAAATTTATTTGTACTAGCTATTCTCTCTGTATCTAAAGCTCATACAAATAAATTTTAATTTTTTTGTACAATATACGAATATTGCATATGTTCACTAATACAATATTGAATTAGAAAGCAAGCTGGAGAAGGGTTTCATTTCATCAACAATTTTAATAAAGCTTATATGTATGAAATGAGATGAAATGTTATATGTCGTTTAATTTAATCAAGATAAACATCAGTAGAATTAAAAATGTAAACCAAATCCCAATTTTAATGGAAAATATTTTGAAATCAAATTTAATTTTCACCCATGAATTTGAAAATTAGTTATAAATTGACAAAAATGAACCCTTCATTTCATCAGGCATTAACGGTGGAATGGAATTCATTATCACAGGTTTGTAACATGTATGGTTTGCTGTGGTATGCTTCTTCACATTTCAATCTCTTTAAACACTAGCATGACACCTCATTTTAGTTTGTTTTTTTCCTCTTATGATGGACATGGTCCCTATTTAGTTCGGGAAAAAAACTTATATCAATTCCCATATTTTAAAGCTTGGAATTGTCTATTTGGTAAAAGTTTTTATTTTAAAAGGAATTTTGATGAATTACGAAATTCACTTTGTTTTATTTATTTGAATATCAAAATAACATATTGTAACATAATAAAAACTTGTCAGATTGCATGATAATGAATATAATACTCATTATACAGATTTTTAAAACAAATTGAAAAATTTAAATTTTAAAGAAAGGAATTGGAAATGATTGAAAACATAAATTTTAATTTAAGTAACTGGTAATAAAATCTTTTTATTTTTAACCTCCTATAATAATATTTAATGTAATGCTGTTTACTTGTAAAACAAATTTAAATAATATATTTACAATTTGAATAGAATGTGAATGATTGTTAAATCTATTGCTGTGCATGCAAGCTTTGTATGAATTTTATGTATTAAAAAAAAGTGCCTTGTAAAATTTGCTTTGTAATTTATCATGAAATACTTCAGAACAAAAATAAAATTGTTTATATGTCTTTTTTTGCTGCATTGTTGTTTTAAAATGTATTTGTAGTACATATACATATTAGTAGTCTAGATGCTTCATACTGATTTGCACTTAGGAGAAATTCATTTTTCACCTTTTTAGGGTAATAACTTTGATTACTTTTGCTCACCCCTTTTTTCAGTCAAATAAGACTCAATAACTAATTGGAAAAGGGTAGTGGGTAACCAAGCATTAAACTAAACAAAACATAAACAAAAGAAAATTTTAGAAATTATTTTGAAAAAATAGGTTTTGCTGGTTTTTACGCCTTAACATATTGTTTGTAAGCAGATTCAGAATGAAAACAAATCAGTTATACAATGAAGATAGTAAATTCAAAGTAAAAACATTTATCTGGTTTTTTTTCTATTCTGTACAGAACTCATGCAACATGATTATTTTTATAGAATATTGAAACCATCTGATTTTCTTTGGAGTCTAACTGAATTACACAATATATATTTACCCATGATTAATCAAAGTCTATTGGATTACAGGAGAACAGGGGTCTACTTGAGTTAAACGAAGACTTGAATGCACAGTTGCTTTCAAGATGTATATCTGAAGGCAGAAACTTGACTGAAGGCAGCCAGGAACAGTCTTTAGCCTCAGAATTGGAACATCTTACTAAAACTGAGGTAAAATACAAAACATTTATTTATAAACTCATGTGTAAACTTTTTTGGTACAAAAAACTGATGGTTCCTATAAATGTGTAAATATTGCTTCAGATTGTAGGCTAATAAAGAATTCTGGAGAAGTGTCTATAGATATGTAAGAGGGTGTTAATATATTAGGGCAAGCACTGAAGTATTTGAGTTATCTTCCCTTTAACAAAAATTGACTATTTTTCTTTTATAATTAATTCACATTTAACATGTACAAATTTTACATTAAAGTTATCTTAATGAGTGTAATGTTAACATTACAACTACTTCACATTGTATGCCCCCATCGTACTGGATTGGGCATTAAGTATTACCCTTGTCCGTCCGTACATCAAAACATCCCCAAAATTAGTTTCCGTTCTCTAACTTAAGTTTGTCTCCACCAAATGTTATGAAACTTATACACAATGCTCATTACCACAAAACGCAGATCAAGTTCCAACTTGGGTTGTGTCACTTTACAATTCTTATCTGCTCTTTTTTTTGTCGAGCCTGCCACTTTTGTCGCAAAAGCGAGACATAGCGATCCTACATTCCGTTGTCGTCAGCGGCGTCCACAATTATTCACTCTGTGGTTAAAGTTTTTGAAATTTTAATAACTTTCTTAAACTATCCTGGATTTCTACCAAACTTGTTTATGATCATAAGATAGTATCCAGAAGTAAATTTTGTTAAAAAAAATCCTGTTTTTCCGTATTTTACTTATAAATGGATGGACTTAGTTTTTCTGGCAAAGTTTTTAAAATTTTAATAACTTTCTTATACTATCCTGGATTTGTACCCAACTTGGACAGAAGCTAGTTTATGATCAAAAGCTAGTATCTAGAAGGAAATTTTGTAAAAATATATTTCCTGTTTTTCTGAATATTACTTATAAATGGACTTAGTGTTTCTGCCAGTTAACATTACATACAGTCTGTAAAAGTTTTTAAAACATTTATTAGATTCATAAAACATTCTGGATTTTTACCAAACTTGGACAGAAGCTTCTTACAATCAAAAGATAGTATCTATAAGAAAATGTTTAATAATTTTTTCCCCATTTTTGTTGAGCCTGTGACTAGCAGCAGAAGTAGGCGAAACACTGGGTTCTGTGGAACTCTTACGTATTTTTTTGTACATATCAAACAATATGAAATGACATAATGTTGTTAATCCAGAATCCTGTAATTACTAATTCAAGTAATATGAAAGATCGAATTTTAATACATGTATTTACAAGGTAGAATTTGTTTGTTTCAAAAAATTTAGTACCTTCTTTTCTTACCTTTATAGCTGATGGGAAAAGTTCAAGAACAGGAACGTGAATTATTAAGACTGAAACAGTATATTGATAAAATATTGTTGGCTATCCTAGAAAAAAATCCTTCAATTTTGGAAATTGTGCGGTGATAATGGACAAATGCCAGTGCTTATGTTATAGAAAGTGAAAACAAGATGTTCTGTGATAAACTGCTCAGGTCTCGGTTACCATAGTTACCATGAGAAGCATGGTGAACTCAAAGTGCAAGACATTGTATTTTTGTCAACATGGCATTGAGCTATTTATGCAAGTACTTTGAATAGAAGACATCCTTGAGATTCATTCATTAGATAGCTGCTTGCATTATTGTTGAGATTTTATTGTTATAAATATACAACAAAAAAATGTAAAAAAAAACAACATTTTAGTTTTCTATTTTTGTAAGCATCGGATATTTTTGTGTAAATTGATTTTGTTGTTGATTTAGATTGAATTTACAGCTTTGTATATGAATATTTATTACACCCTAGTTTTTAGACAATAATTCACAAAAATGAACTGAATAGTTAGAATTTTTTAGCACCAAAAGATTTTACATTACTTTATCTGATTTATTGCATCTAGTGTATCATTACATTTGATCTTTTAAGATTGTGATTTTATGAGGCAATGACATTAATAATACGTCTTTAATTGAGCCTAATAATTTATTAGAACATGACTGTTGTAGTATCTAGTCTATATTAGACTTTAGAAAACTTATTTAATACATAACTGATTGGCAAATTTTATCCGAAAATTCCGGAAAAAGGGGAAGTTAATGAAATTCTTCAGTATTCAAAATTTAGTTTGAAAATACAAAAATATATAAATTTTTATAAAAATATATAAAAAAATATAGCACTAGCTTCAAAGTGATTTTTATCACTAATTGAGATATTTCTACCGTGTTATAAATTTTGTAGAATCTATTATTTATTTGAATTTTTGTATTACTCTTTATTTCAAAAGATGAAACTATGTAAATTAAGAAATGGCTCAGATCTAATGAAACGATTAGACTACAATATACTCATGTCTCAGAAATTAGATATATATATTTGTTTAAAATCTATCATATATAATTATTGTGCAGTTTATATTAATATATAGTTATGTTTCAAGCTGTAAAATCAATAATTGCTAAAATCAAGCAAAATAATTTCCATTGACTAATACAAGGAAGATGAGAACAATGCATGAAATTAAATGGACAAAGAAATGTGATCATACTGCCGCACATATGTGGACATATGTGGACTGAACACTCATTTATTATATAATAACCTCATGGATTGTTTATTACAAATCATTAATGTTATTCATTATATCATTTATGATTTGAGAATTGAATTTTAAAAAATGTAGTATTTTTGAGAGTTAGGCAAGAAAATGTTATCTTGTGTTTCAAGTTATAAATTAAAAAATGGGTGGGTCAGTTGATCAGATTATTATTATTTTTAAAACTTTTGTAATCTAAAGAGAATATAATCAAAATCAAAGAAATTTATTTGAAGTTTGTGTCTCCCTATTTATTTCCCTTGTTGCTGACCATCTCTGTTTTTAGTCCCTTGTTGCTGACCATCTCTGTTTTTAGTCCAGCTAATTAAGCAGAAAAAAAACCTTACACAGTGTATTAACCATAGAGTTCTCATTGGAAGCTTGGGTGTTTTATAGCAAAATTTACAACAGCCAAATACTAATCTAATTTTGAAAGGCCAGGAATAGATTGGAGTTTTTATTTTCACAATAGGTAATTAAATAATTGAGTCATTTGAAATTTGAAGGTTGGCAAGGTAAGGGGAAAAATAAAATTATAATTTTGACCTATTATAAACAGTATAAATATACAATTGACAGTTCATTATCCAATGTAAGATCAACATGAGGAGATTTTATACAGTCAGTAGTTCTCATGATAAGATTTACCAGTAGTGAATTGTCCCTAAGTGTTTCACATTGGTTCTCATGATAAGATTTGCCAGTAGTGAATTGTCCCTAAGTGTTTCACATTGGTTCTCATGATAAGATTTACCAGTAGTGAATTGTCCCTAAGTGTTTCACAGTGGTTCTCATGATAAGATTTACCAGTAGTGAATTGTCCCTAAGTGTTTCACAGTGGTTCCAAATAAAATCAAACTTTAGATTATCTGTCTTTATACCAATTCTGAGTTCCTATACAACTGACTTCCTTTGTGTTGACGGACCTAATGATGTTTGAAGATCAATCTTTTTTGGTCTGAAATGTCAAATATTTTCTGTTCTTACAATGGAAAGTTTTCTGAAGACATCTTTTTTCTTTCAATGTTGAACAATGTTGTGGTAAATGGAAAATGTTTGAAACCGACAACCACATGTACTGATCTCTTTATTCAGTGATCAACTTTCAATGGTAAACTCCGACTAATAGAACTACTAAAAATTCATATATCACAAAATCCCCTTATACAAAAATAATAATTGTTATAGAAAAATTAATATTTGTAATAAAAACATTTGATGACAATAAATCTGTTTATTTGAAGTTACAAATTGTACTTTGTAAATATCTGATAATGTAAAAACCCTAGTTTCCATGAAGATTTTCACTTTTAAGCTTATATATGCATCCATAGTGCTTTGACTTTCTTACCCATCGACCATTATAATGCACACAAATGCCCATTCACAAAAGGTCCCATAAATATTTACATATAGTTTGTTATTATGTCATATCTAGCTGCTCCAATGGCAGTCACTATTTAAGAGGAGTCAGACCCAATCTATTCTCTTCTAACCATATCATTTTCCTTGTAAGGTAATGTCAAAACATTTGGTCTTCGTATTTTTTGAACTTTTTCTATTAGGCGTTCCATATACAAATTTGGCAGCTGCCACTGAATAAAAATAATTTTCAATATCCCAAAGAAAATGAAATTTTTATTAATCCATTTTAACACTATGCAATTTAATGACAAACAAATGAAAGCACAATACATATCTACTCAGTAATTTGTTCATTAATTCATCTTTCACCAATTACATTATTTATTATTCAGTTTGAGACAAGATGCAATAAAGTTACGTATTCTGTCCATTTTAATGCCAGAGTACTTATTTATTTATTTAATTATCTACTTCTAGTCATTTAATATGTCTCCAGTACCAGTTTAACATCTGTTGTTTTATTTATTGTGAAAACAAATCCTTGTACAGAACTGTCTTATCACTTGTTAAAAACTAAATTGTCTTTGTAGTTTTTATAACTTTTATGTTTTGTGTGGCGTATAAATGATGCAGAATTATGATAAAATCATAATATTTTTCATCCTGTGTAGTTTTTAAGTTATTTTATTTATGATATTGAATTGTATAATACTTAATTTTAAATAACTTGAACACAGTTTCTTCAAAACTTGTACAAATAATTTTTATGCAAATTCTAAAATCAAGAACAAAAGGTTTCATTTTTCAAGAAGGGGACTGTAAAATTCTACATAAATTAGATAAACTGTTTTAGATAAATTAAACAAAACTGTACCAAATTATTCATTTGTGTACAAAATCCTTTTTCAAAATAATTTTGTTTACATTTATAAGAAGTTCACAACATTCCTGTCTTACTGCCTTTTTATACATTGAATTATATTTTATACATGTACATAAAAAGTGGAGTTTGAAGTCCTAGTTAAAGCTAGCTGTGATGAAATTTTAATTATTTTCAAAAGTCTTTTTCTCCTATTATTGGCCATAAATGTATACTGCCTTTATTGATGTCTCGAGTATTTTTCAATTTTCACTTTTGCAAATATCATTGATTTTGATGAAAATATGTTATTTTAAATTATTCTATAACATTATCTGGATCTAGTACCGGAATGCATGTATTGGTCCGGGAACATTTCTAACTATTTTGCTGTGATCAGAATTCCATTACATTGACCAATCAAAGTTCATAGATTTTCTTTGACTTTTGTATTAATAAATTGTGGTTGTATACAGCTTTGCTATTTAACAAATTGGCTGTTAAAGTTTTTTATATTGTGTATCAATGTTCTCATAAAACATTCCATTTGAAATTTTAATCATGGTAATTTAATGAAATTGTCGTACATGGATTCAATTTTATCATCACTGCTCTCTAAGTTTCTATAATATTACTTGCTTTTGATTAATATGAGACAGGTGTTTGATTGTCTTGCAAATAAATGCAGCTTATTTTTTTTGGAGTACTATATTTTTCATTTCACAAATAAAAATATATAAAATGGTGTGAGAATCACTTGTTAGACAAGTTAGCATACCCATATATTTCTGATATGACATGAAATAAAATGATAAAAAAAAACTCAATGTTAGATTTTGCAAAACATATTTCAAAATCACAAATAAAATCTATTTAAAACTTGTTTAGTGTTTGTTTCACTTCTTCAGCACAGAATAAAATGTGCTAGTTTTTAGCTCACTTGTATCGTAACTTATTGACAGCTATGGCCAGCATTGTGCATCGGTCATTATGGTTGGTTCATTATTGACCATCTCCTTGGCCAGTTTTAACTAAATTGCAGGAATAATGTGATGAAGGATTTGGGTTTTTTCTGGAGAGATTAAAAACATCTCTGCATGTTATTAATTCAAGATTCAAATTGTTTAATTCTTATGGTTCTCATCCTTTGAAACACTAAACCTTGTGGGAAGTCAAATTTAGCCTTCTTTGAAATTGCTTAGCTGCTGTAAATTCAGAAATTATTGTGAGGTTTTTATTAATGCGAATAATGCGACTCCTTGAATATCGCAATAATACGACCTGATTCTGATATTTGATTCATGAAATTCAATATATCTGTATGCAGCTTTTCCTAAAATCACAATAATAAATGCACGCAATAATTTCTGAATTTATAGTAAACTAAATTATTTAACCTATTATTGTGTTTTGAAGGATCATTTATGAAATTATGATGATTTAACACAGAAAGGATACCAAAAGCAGTTCTTTATTTTAACTTTATAGTTTAAATGAAATCACATGTTCTTTATTTTGTTTAATACAGACTAAAAACTTTGCCAGACAAAAATGCTTGATTTTGATCAATTCTAAATTATTAGTCCCCTACCGATGAAGTCGATGAAGTCGAAGGGGACTTTATTAGTCCCCTACCGATGAAGTCGAAGGGGACTTAGGTTTGCACTCCGTTTGTCTGTCTGTCTGTCAAATCAGTTTTCCACACTTTTTTTGAATTGATAATTGGTACATAGTTTTATCATGACAAGTTACAGATCAAGTTTAGATTTTGTTCTGGTCATGTTAATACGTGCAGAGTTATGGTCTTTGGACAAAGAAAATTCACTTAAATAATCAGTTTTCCACACTTTTTTTCGTCATGCTTGAAGATATTGATTTGATAATTGGTACATAGTTTTATCATGACAAGTTACAGATCAAGTTCGAATTTTGTTCCGTTCTGATGATTTTGTGCAGAGTTATGGTCCTTGGACTTAGAAAATTCACTTAAATAATCAGTTTTCCGCACTTTTTTTAGTCATGCTTGAAGATATTGATTTGATATTTGTTACATAGTTTACACCATGACAAGTTATAGATCAAGTTAGCATTTTGTTCTAATACAATGAATTTTTAACTGGTATTGGACTATGTATTGCCATGCAATACTCTCAGAATGCTTGTTTTATTTTGTTTTATTCTGAAATTTTCAAAAGATATCAAACAATAGTTCATAGTTTGCTATTTCAGAATTAAAATGTTCCTACACCTAAATGAAAAAGTTGTTAGGCCATTGGTTCAATATGCATAAGGGGACGCTGTTAAAGTAATCGGAACTAATTGGTAGTCCTTTTGAAATATGACCAAGAGTGCATTAAAATCTGAAACAGTGAGTTGATACCTCACAAGGGATAAAAGTTACTGCAAGCCTAGTTGAGTGCCACACTTTAAAAGTGAGGTGAAATTTAGTGAGATATCAACAATTAGGGGTAAAGATTGCATTCATTCAATCAAAACCCTCATCGTTTATATGGCTGGCTTGATAGTTACCAATTTTTCGAGACTATCACTTCTTTTGAGATAAACACAACATAGTGCATTGAGCACATTCTATACAGCCTGTTCCTATCCATGAAATCAAGAAATTTATCAATGACAATAAAATTATATACTCCGATATTTAAGTTACAAAATATTGTGTTTGTGTATAACCATACTGAGTGAATCTACTATATTTTCTAAAACATCAATGATTTCATTGTTAGTCATATATAAAATTGAGTTATCTTCCTTTGTCCATAATTGTAGTTCTCCCCAATTCATACAATCTTGACCCTTCAGTTCTCACAAGCACTTTAATTGTTTTGTTTAGTTGCAAACTGATTATTTTATCAACATTGTCAAATCAATCATTTTGATTCATTTCTGATTTTCATTTCTACAGGATATCTGCAGTATCACTATGAATAGAAATAAGGAATGATTTGAACTACCAAAGAGTGTGAGAGCTAGGTTGTTGGTTCAATCTATGTCAGAGCCAAAGCAAAACTTTTAAATGGGTAGTTGGTGTTTCTCTGCAAAGAGTAAAAGCAAAGACTGGTTAGAATAATGTGTCTTGTAAATGTATCATGTCTTCCTGTGGACTGTTACCTTGTGAATTAAATCTAGCATATTAATAATTCATCTAAGCTATGCTAGGTTTAGCACAAAGCGGTGTTCATATTCATATCATATTAACAAGTTCTCGCCCTGATATGCATGTAATATTTGCAACTGGACGTTTAATTATACCCCTGCTCAAGATGCAAATTCTTGGCAAAATAGAAGAACATTGGAGGAATGGAAATCATGATATGGCATACCCAGATGAAGCATGATGCAGTATATGAAGAAGCTATAACTTCTGCTATGTAATGCTATGTAGATTTTGACTCCTGGGAGTATAGCTAGCCTAGCCGCTAAATAGATCTAGATAGCCCAAACAATTCATGCTTTCAAGAGAATCCAAAATGGTGTAGGATTGATTACTACTAATTACGTCATTTTTATAGGCTACATGTAGCTAAGTAGCATATTGTTTAACATAGATAGATAACTAGGACATAGCGGCTATACTAGCTGCTAGGATATTGAATGCAACCCTGGTAAAAACAGTAAATCAAAGCCTAACCTGATACAGGACAGAGGGATGATTTGATAAACTAGACTAGAAAGCAATGTCCCCTACTATGTTAGGCTGAGTATCAAAAAATGATTCTTTTTCAATTGTATCATCAGAATTTTAAAACTATATCTACTGTACATTAAAAATAAGTTCTTTTTGTTTGAAGAATAGGGCTTCTAGAAACCTAAATTTCTCACAACCATATTCTCCTCTTAATTGCTTAAAGGGGCATTAGCTGTCAAATTCATGTTCACTGATTTGACCCAAATTCTCATATTTGACTTATAGACATACTAAAATGCATATCCAAATAATAAAAAGTCTAAAATAAACAATTTACAATGCACAGACTCGATAATATGTATCAGCATTTTGTGTGTATTTTAGTCTAGACACCATCTAATTAACCAACGAGGTGACCTCCGAAGACTACCAACAATTATATAACCCGATATAAACATAAACATAGATATAAATAGATAACGAACTCGTGCAATTGGAATTTTCTAGGTCTGTTTGATTTCATATTATAGGTTTAAAAAATATGTTAGTAATCGTTTTTAGCTGTATAAGAATGAGTTTTTGTAGGTCGAATCAGTCAACCAAATGGTTTACCCTTGTTTCACTTCCAATGTTGACATTCTTTTCTTTTTAATAACTGAACACGCCTAGTTCATGCATAACCCATCTCTAGCTAAGGGGTTAAACTGAAGTTCACATGAATACGGATTTCATGAGGTCGAATTATTCACTTGCAAGTGAATTATTCATTAGCGATGTTGCTTTGTTTATTTTGACAAAACTTACCAAACTGGCTGCTTAAGGCAAATTATTATACCACTATTTCACTTCCATTAATGATTGAACAAAAAAAAAAATCATATTTATTTTTTTTCTATATCTCGTAGCTAATGCCCCTTTTAGGGAAGATAACTTCTGTCAGATTTTTCATCAATCCCCAAAAGTCATGAAAATTTGGAAACACTTTGCCTAACAGATATTAGAAAATTGGCTTATCAGAATTCAATGATTGGAAGCAAATAAGGATCAGTGGAAGAGGACATTCCTTAAATCATTGCTGCAAGTTTTGTTAGGCCAAGTAGTTTCTGACAAAGATAATAAAATGCTTCGCTGAGCGCAGCCTGATACGACTGCAGTGGTCGAACCCTGAACAGTTGGGGCAAATTTGGACACAATATTAAAGCTTGATACTATCTGAATTTGGATTGTGATCAAATTTTTGCCATAATATAGGTTTCTGACACAAAATAAATGTGGTCAAAGATTATATTGTGCAATTGAAGATTTCTTCTTGAAATTTAAAAAAAAATTTAAATTTAAAAATGTTGAAAAAAAATATGAACCAATTAAAAAATATTGGAACCCTCCCCCTTTCAAACTTTTTGAATCCCTCTTGGAGCATTAACCATCAAACTCAATACCAGTCTTTCCTTTGTAGTATGGAACCTTGTAGTATAATATTAGAGAGATCCATACACTTTAACATAAGTTATTGTCTGGAAACTTTAAAATTGTTTGTTTTGGCTCTTTTTTTGCACTTAATTCCTGCATGTTTGGGGCAATTACCCCCAAACTCAATCCCAGCCTTCCCTTTGTGATATGGAACCTTGATGAACAATGTCAGAGAGATCCATACACTTACACACAAGCTATTGTCTGGAAGCTACAAAAATGCTTGTTTTAGGCCCCTTTTTGGCCCTTAATTCCTCATCTGTTGGCACCATAACCCCCAAAATGATTCCCAACCTTGTACTTGCGGTATTAAACATTGTGGTACAATTTCAAAGCAATTGAAATACTTATACTCAAGTTATTATCCTGAAAGTAGGAAAATGCTTGTTTTGTGTCCCTTTTGGGCTCCTAATTCATAAATGGTTGGGACAATCATCTGCCAAATAAATCCCAATCTTCCTTTTATGGTATTGAACCTGCTTAAACAAATTTATAGAGATCCATTTTCTTAAACTAAAGTTATTGTTCGGAAATCAAATGTGTTTTCAGTTGACGACGATGCAAACAATGACGACATCATAGCACTATGTGAACCCATACTAAATTTTGCAGTCTTATATAAATTGCTATTCAAAAGATAATGGAAAATTAAGCATATATTTTCAATTTGATTTGCTTTCAAAATTTCCAATGGACTTTGCAACCATAAAAGCCCATTTAAATACATCATAAAAGTATAAAAATAGAAAATGACAGCATAGTCATGG